TATATATATATATATATATATTTACACGGAGCGTGCGATGGCGGGAGAGGAGAATTCCCAGCTTTGCATCCGCCTCGGGAGCTGAGGGGGGGGGGGGGGACTGGGATGAGGGAATATTGCACTGTCCTTGGAGCAGGGGAAGGATTCAGGAAGACACGACTGAGAAAATCAGGATGCTGCCGGAGCGGGAGAGCCGCTCTCTCTCCCTCTCTCTCCCTCCCTCTCTCCCGGAGAGGGATCCGCATTCCCGGCTCTCCGGGATCCGCATTCCCGGCTCTCCCGGGGAGATCCTTCTTCTTTTTTCGTTTTCATTTTTTTTTTCTCCTGCAGAAGCCATGAGCAAAAACTCTTCAAATCCTTCAGGGAATCGGGAACCGGGAACGGGATGTCAAAAAAACTTAACCCAATGCCTTTAACAGACGCATTAAAATGTACCCGGGGGGGGTGTGTGTGTGTTGGGGGGGGGGGTTTTCCCAAAAAAAAACCCCCCCCCCCCCCCCCCCCCCCCCCTCTCCCAAATCGTTGCGGGTGGAATTTGGGAGCGACGGGAAGAACTGAACGTCGGGAATGATTGTGGTGGAGCGGGAACGCCGGAATCGCCCCGGGAACGCCGGGAGCCTCGGTGACTCCATTCCCCGTGCTCGGATCCCCCCTGTCACCTTGACTCATTGCCTTAAAAACCACGTGTGGACTTGATTCCCGGCGGGATCTGGGCCACGGGAGCGCTTGGATTTCTCATGGATTTCCTCATGGATCTCTCGTGGATTTTCCGTGGATTTTCCGTGGATGTTGCCCCGATGCCGGAGCGGCGGCCGCGTCTTTATCCCGCTGTATTTTTGCTACAATCCTCCTACTGTTCCCCTGCTCGGCCACGTTCCCCTTGGGACTGAATTCCCTCGGGAATGCGCTCCCATCCCGGCACCGGGATGAACCCTCGATGATTCCTCGGAAAGGAGCTTTGGGGAAACCCGCCGGTCTCTACGGAACCACGTCCCGAGGGGAGAATTCCCAAGGGGAGAATTCCCAAGGGGGAGAATTCCCAAGGGAGAGGATTCCCAAGGGGGAGAATTCCCGAGGGGAAGGATTCCCGAGGGGAAGGATTCCCGAGGGGAGCTGCCCCGGGAGCGTCAGGAGCACAGTTTGGAAGTGGAATTTGGGGCAGGGATTCCGGGGGCTGCCGGGATGAGATGCCGGGAGTCGGATCCCGTGTGACCCGGATGGGCTCCGGATTTTTTAGCCTGGAGCGTGGAGGAAAACGGGATATGAGGAACCTTTGGATCATCCCCCCCCCACCCCCTCCCCAACCCCGCAGAGGGTGTCCAGGAGTGAACTCAGGAATTAGAAAACACGAGGCCTTTCCCGATTTCCCGGCTTTGATCCATATCCTCCCAAGTGCCGGAGCCCGGCGGGAATTCGGGAATTCTTGGGGGCGGGGGCTGGGATTGGCCCCGCCCCTTTCGTTCGAGGCAAAAAAAAAAAAAA